GGGGCTGGAGGAGGTGACAGAGATAGGGAGGGGGTGTAGGGGCTGGAGGAGGTGACAGAGATAGGGAGGGGGTGCAGGGGGCTGGAGGTGGTGACAGAGATAGGGAGGGGGTGTAAGGGGCTGGAGGTGGTGACAGAGATAGGGAGGGTGTGTAGGGGGCTGGAGGGGGTGACAGAGATAGGGAGGAGGTGTAGGGGCTGGAGGAGGTGACAGAGATAGGGAGGGGGTGCAGGGGGCTGGTGGGGGTGACAGAGATAGGGAGGGGAATGGGGGCGAATGTGGATCGCGCTCCCGTGGGGAATGGCTGGACTCAGAATGGATGTCGAGAAGCCATTCGGCCCATCAGCCCCCCTCCCCCGCTGTACTAGACCTCCTACAGACCCAAGGGGCTCCGCCTCTTACCTACGAGTGGCTCCTTTGCCTTTTCTAGAAGCTCCTTGGTCTGGTTCAAGGCCAGCTCTGCCCCACAGGCAATGGACTCCGAGCCACGGGTGAAGTTTGTGATGATGTTCTGAAGCGGCCCTTCGATAGTCAGGCCGAAGGCTAGCGCCAGGAGAAATGACTTGCCTTGCTCTGGGTGGGCGGTAGGGGGAGGGTGGGATAAAAGAAACAGAAAATGTCAACTCTCCCGATAAAATCGATAAACTCCACGGACGCGCCTTGCGTTGCTGATGTCCTGGTTTCCATCCTGAGGCCTTCTCCCAGTGAGAGAGCCTCCACCCCTTCCATTGGCCCTGCCTGGGCCCTGCAGCTCATTCTTTCACAAGAACTTCATAGGACGGTTTTGGTGGGGGGGGGGGGAGAGGCTAGTATTGGCCTCCACGTCCCTAATTGCACCCCCCAACCCCCGAACTGAGCCTCTTGCTCAGGGCATTTGAATGGATCCCAGTTTGGGGGCTTTGGTCTGGAGTCACGTGTAGGCCCAGATTAGCTTCAGGACAGCATACTTCCTTGCCCCATGAGTGACCCCTGTGAGTGTTGTTTTTCTATTTAACCACAATCGATGACGATCACCCTCTCCAATGGCTTCGTCGCTCGATTATATTCTAAATCCAAACACTCCCACCCCACTGAGGGGGGGATTTGAAACGACGTATCCCCAGTGACTAACCCAGGAGACAATCCCCAACCCGGTAATATTTGAGCTGGCTCAGAGAGGGGCTGAGCGACAGAGGGGAGCCGGGGGTGGGGAGCGTGTGGAATTCCAGCTCTGATTTGCATTCGGATCTCGGGGGTCACCACCCTCCAAAATTATTGACCAGCTCGAACTGAGTGAACGACAGTGTCGTTCGGATAAGTTTGAGCGAAGTTTAAGACATTCCCAGCGTTCAACAGGCCATTCAGCCCTCACCCCCCACCCCCCCC